TCCACACACCTCCGCGCCGCTAGGGGGCGCTGCGGGCGGCGGGATGCCGGCGTGACGTCACCGCGTCGCGCGCATGACGTCACACGCCGGCGCCGCCATGGAGGCGGGCGAGCGCGGAGCCGCCATCCCGGGATGTCCCGCGGGGCCSTGGGCCGTGGGCGAGGAGACGGCGATCCTGCACGGCGGATTCCTGCTGGCCGCCCGCCTGCTGCAGCCGCGGCCGCTGCGGGAGCTGCGCAAAGCCGACTGGCCCCGCGCCGGGGTGCCCATCACCGACGCGCTGCGGGAGATCGGCGAGCGCTGCCCCTCGCCGCGGGRCCACGGGCTCTGGAAGAAGGAGGCCGTGGCCATCGTGTGGGCGAAAATCCTGCTGCCGGCCCCCCCCGCCGCCTCGCTGGAGTGGGGATGGAAGGATGACGGGTTCTTCTCGGTGGGCGCGATGATCCCCGATGTGAACCACACCGCKCTCTTCGAGCTGGTGAAGGCGCTGCGGGCGCCGCGGCTCTTCGTGCAGCTGCTGCTGGCGCTGCCTCCCGATGTGTGCCGGGGGCAGCTGGAGAGCTTGGTGGAGTACATCTCCAGCGAGACATCCCCGTCGGACATCAGGTTCTTCCTGGACGTGTGGTGGGAGGTGATGAARCACAAGGAGGGACAGGAGGACGCGATGGTGTCCGCGTTCGGCGCGCTCATCCATCAGCACGGCGGTGAGTCCTGCCTGGAGGATGGTCTGCAGCCCCCCAAGAGGTTCAAGGGTGACCCCGGGAACCCCCCGGCTGCCAGCGGGCTGTCCATGGTGCTGCTGGAGGGGTTGGAGCACACCCGCGGCAGCATCGCCCAGCCCCGSCTCCGCTGCTACGCCCTGGCCAACCTGGCCGAGCTGCTGCGCCTGAGCGCTGGGCTGGGGAGCGGGGACAGCCCCCTGCCCATCACAGAGTACCTGGGCAAGCTCGGTGCCGTGGTCAGCCTGTGGTGCAGTGACACTGACAGCCMGTACCACCCCTGTGAGCTGGGAGAGAAGGTCAGGGAGGCAGAGAGGAGCCTGAGCCTCCTGCCCGTGACCAAACTGTCTCGTGAGGAGCTCTCTGTTGGCTTGRACTTGCTGCTCAGCTTGCTGCAGGCCTGGGGAGAGGAGCTGCAGGACACTCTGAAGGGCTCTGAGGAGCTCTGCTAYGAGAGCTATCGGCTCCTGGACACTCTGACCGCCCTTGGGAAGAGCCTGGATTGCCTCTCACAGACCGGGGACCTGGGGGAGGGTGAGACACAGGCAGTGTCAGAGCTGGCACAGCTCACCAAGGACTTTCTSAGGGACACCAGCGCTGTCCTGGAGGGTTTGGACACCAGCTTGGTGTCTTCAGTTGCCATGGCAATCATTGCACAGAGGCTGGAGCGCCATGTGGACACGTGCTCTGTGTTTGCATCTGAAAGGACCTGGGCCTTTTCAAAGGCCTGGGTCGAGTGCCTTGTTGAAAACAAAGCTCTGTTCCAGAAACCTGAGCTGGTTTTGGAGCTGCTGGAGACGCTGGTGAGCTTTGCCAYGTCCTGCCAAGACAAGGAGGCCCGAGAGCTGCAGATGGAAGTGAGCAAAGCCATCGTGGAGTGCTACRCTGAGCTTTCACTGCCTGACAAAAACAAAGTGATCTCAGGTGTCCTGGCATCCTGGGGTGGCCAGGGCCTGTCCCAGAACTTGCAGGTTGTCAGGGAGGGCTTCCAGGAGGACCTGAATGTGACTCTCAACCAGATCACYAAGAGTGTGTCTGATGAAGGGCTGAGCAGGGCTGTGGCTGCTGTGGCCAGGCTCACGCTGCTCTACCCCGAGGCCACGGTGAAGCAGGTTTGTCACCTTGCTGTGGTCAACCTCGGAGCACACCAGTTCCTCRGCCAAATCCTCTGCTCCTTCCCAGCACTGAGCTCCCTGGAGAGCCACGAGGATCCAGGCAGGCCAYGCAGCCTGGTGGTGAGGTGTCTGGAGGAGGCGGTGTGGGGGAAGCTTTCCACTGCGAGGGAAGAGGAGCAGTTCCTTCAGTTCCTGACCTTTCTGATGCAGCCACCCTCAGCCACCCCTCTTTTAACACCTGCAGAAGTGACCAAAGCCTTTGTCCTTCCCTGTTTGAGGTCAGACTCTCCTCAGATTGAGCTGAGCCTGCAGATCCTCAGCAAGGTTTTGGSAATACCGTGCTGTTCAGAGGAGCACTGGATCAAATCCTGCCACCCTTTCCCACTCATCCTCAGCCTCTGCAAACTTCTGGATGGTTACACCAAGTTCTGGCATCAACCTAAGGAGCAGCTTTACCCTTCCCTGGAGACCAAAGACCTGATTCTGAACATTCTCTGCCAGCTGTGCGAGGTGCTGGGGCCAGAGAGCGTCCCCTCTCCGGAGCTGTGGGTGCAGTCGCTGGCCTGGCTGCACAGGAAGGTGGCATCGCTGGACTGGACYGTGGGGCTCCGTCTGAAGAAGCTTTTCGGGGACCACTTCAAGAACGAGGTGCCGGCCACGCTGTTCGAGGTGTGCAGGCTCCCTGAGGACGAGTGGACGTCGCAGTCCCTGCCAGCCTACGGGCCGGGCAGCGGGCTGCTGGCGTGGATGGAGTGCTGCTGCGTGTCCCCRGCGCTCAGGGACACCATGCTGGAGCTGCTCGCCGTCGACGTGGACAACCCCGAGGAGGTGAAYCTCTTCAGCAAAGGCTTCCTGGTGGCCCTGGTGCAGGTGCTGCCGTGGTGCAGCCAGGCCGAGTGGGGGAGGCTGACGGCCGTGGCGGAGCAGCTGCTGCAGAGGGAGGTGCTGCACGTCCCCTACACSCTGGAGTACGTGCAGCACCTGCCCCTGCTCAACCTGCGCCCCTTGGCCCGCCAYCTGCAGCTCTCCGTGCTCTTCCTGCGGGGCTTCCAGCTGCTCTGCAGCTCCAGCTGCTCCACCTGGCTGCCTCCCCACGCTTGGCTCCACGTRGTGCAGCTCTACTGCTCCAGCCTGACCGCCCTGCTGGCCTCCGCCAAGGCYGCGGTGGGGTCCCCGTCCCAGCCCAATGAGGGTGGCACCTTCGTGCAGGAGGTGTCCTTCGTGTGCATCCAGGTGCTGTGTCACCTGCTGCACGTGGCTGCCATGCTGCCCGGCGGGGGCTGCGGGGAGCCATTGCTGGTGGTGGCCCTGGAGGTGCTGTCGCAGTACGAGGCGTTCAGCGGGGCCGACGCGTCCCCGTGCGCGGCGCTGCGCAGGGCCAACGACAGACACTTCCTAGAGGCCATCACAGACAGCGTGGGGGACGAGGAGCTGCGGGGAACCCTCCTGCAGAAGCTCAGCAAGCTGGGAGCACACTCAGCAGGGGARCAAGCTTGAGGAGCTGGAGAGGAGAGCACAGATCCCTGATCTGGACTTTGTGAGATTTGTAATAAACCCTTATTTTTCACTTTTGCATTTATTCCCTCCCTGCTGTTTTCTTCCATGCAACAGTGGAAGTAGCCATATAAAGATGTGTAGGAGGAGCCACTTTGGTTTTCCATYGGAATAACTGGAACAGAGCTGTTCCTGAGCCAAGCTGACGGTTCTGTGGCTGCAGCCTTGCCTGCTGGCAACTCTGAATTTACACAGCAGTCTCCAGCACTGAGGAAATCACTTCCCTCTGGCTCCTYTGCCACCAGCCCTCTCCTAGTCCCGGGAGAATTGCTGGTTTCACCACGGGCTGCCCGAGGCTGGGAAGCCATTCAGAGGCTGGGGAGCGAGTTGGGTGAGTTTAGGACAGGCAGGAGCCTTTGGAAATCGGCGTGTGCTGCTCCTGCCCGGAGGTGGGGTTGCAGCAGTAACCCCACATGTAACGCCCCCACCCAGCAATGAACGGCACGTGGAAGAGCCAGCCAGTGGTGTGACTCAGAGAGGAAATCTTTATTGGTCTCCTGATAGTAAATAGGGCAGTGTTAGTGCAAAATGAGGTGCCTCATTGGCTGGGGTTGTTGGTTTGTTTTTTTTGTCCTTACATAAGGCACGTTATTCGCAATGAAAACAGGGAGATACAACATCTGTAACGAGTTGCAAGCGGTTTGTAACATCAGCTGCTCTCGGTCCTTACTGTGATAGCTGCGGTTCTGCAACAACCACAGGTCGGAAAAAGCCCTTTTTTTTTTTTTTTTTTTT